GCTTGGTAATAAAAAGAAGCACTTCAAGTCACTGGTCTCTTGCAACAGGGCAGCGCTCAAAATTAAACACTGCTACTCTCATCTCAGCTGATGCTGGTGCCACAGCACTGGGGGGAAAAATAAATTAAAAAAAAAGAAAAAAGAGAAAAAGAAAAGGAGGAGGAAGTCATACAGCCACTTTGGAGTTTCCTAGCAACTTTCTGCAACACGTTGGGTACACAGAGCCAGCAGTGCAGCGGGCTGAGCAGCTGCCGTGCCCGAGTGCCAGGAAAGAGGGCTCAGACGGGCAGTGCTGCAGCGTGTGTGTTTGCATGCCTGTGCTGTCCAGCCCTTTCACACTGCCAGAAATGTGTCACATCAGCAAGGCCTTGGAGAGAGAGAGAAAAAGAAGAAGAAAAAAAAAAAAAAAAGCAGTCCTGTGTTCCGCACATAGGAATCACGGCTGGTGCGTGCCAGCCTGGGCACTGATGCTGCCCTGCAGCACAGCTCTTCCTGGAAAGAAGAGCTTCCACGGAGCACATCCCAGGAGCTTTGCTTGCAACTGCCAAGGGCAGAGACAGCAGCAGCCCCAAGGGGCTAATGCACACGAGCACTGGGGCCCACCAGTGCCTGTGGGCTTTGCAACTTCCTTCCCTGCTTCCCAAAATACCCCACACCGGGTTATTTAGGCCACGGAAAATTAGTTCCCCTTCTCTCCTACCCACACGCAACCCCAGCCCTGCAGGRCTCAGGACAAGGTTTCTCCAGCAGAGCCAGAGCGCCATTCATTTCAGTTTAAATTTTTTGACCCTTGCTCTATCAGTAAGGCAGTAGTGCCTCCCCATTCCAGTTCTCTGCCTCTTCACATCATTCTAAGAAAACTCCTTATCTATCCTAGTGGGCAAGACCAAAAGTTGATCTTGCCATTTTTGCATGCCTTTGGGGCATGGTAACAACCAAAGTTTTGGGGTTTGTTGCTGTTTAAAAAAAAAAAAAAAAAACCAACTTTTCTATCACACCTTTCTCAGGATTTACATATTAAATCACTAATGAGTCAAACCAACAAGAGCTGAGCCCAAGTAACCTAAAAAAATTTTTTTTGCTTTTACATGTGCATATTTGCACAAAATACAGTCGTGTAACTTCTGCTARTGAGCAGAGAGAGGGCTGGGAGCGACAGGAAAGATCTGGTGGCTTCTGCCGAGGCCAGTGCTGTGACAGCTGGGCTGCTATGGCAGCTCTGCTGCACCTTCACAATTAGTCTATTATTATCCAAATAGCCAAACTGAGCATTCGCCGCCTGTAGCGCTCCTGTTATTGAGCACTGACAGCACCTTAATAGATTGGGTAGACAGAATCTTTTTTTTTTTTTAAGCTGTATCTATGGAAGGAAGGAGAACAACAACATAAACAGCGCCTTTATGAGCAGGATAGCGACAGGGCTCAGTGCTCTCTATGCAGAATCCTTCTCAGATTGCTGCCCGAGGGGGAACTTGGGCAACGTTTTCTGTRTTTTCTGCTTGCCGTGGGGCTGGCRGTGGCAGCAGCAGCGCAGCCCCCGCGCTGTCCCCACCCTGCAGGGTGACAGCGCTATCAGCGAGACACGGCCTCGCTGCCAAGCGGAGATAGCGCGCGACAGAGGCACGAGCACAGCAAAACAATCCCACGGTGAGGACGGCCGCGGGCGCCGGGGAATCCTGCGACTGAGCCCACGTTGCCGGCTGCATCCGAGCCCTTTCCTGGGGAGCTCGGGGCTTCCTCACGGTCTCGAGTCCTGCCCGTCCTAAGGCAGCCGCCAGCCCTGCGCCCCTGCAGGCTCTGGCAGCACAGAGCGGTGGCTCAGCGCCCTGGAGCAGTCGGGGGACACCCTGCAGCAGCTCGCTGCAGCCGCAGCAGCGCGGGGTCCCGGCTTCCGCGCGCTCGGCCCCAGCGGCGCCGCTCACTGCAGCCCTGCTCCCCAGGGCACGCACAAACCCAGAGGCACTCGCAGCCACCAAAGTCACAGCCACACATTTTATACATTGCATCTTGCGTTTTTCTCAAATAATAATGCAACTTTTAAAAGCTGTCTGGAAAGGCACTGGCCTGGGCACCAGCTATTCCCTGCTGCTCAAACCTACGCATAGGGCAGACTTTGCAGGCCAATGCACACGGATTACTGCTCCCAGCTGCAGGCCTAATGACTGGTTTAGGACCGTTAATTTCAGGAAGGTTGGATGAGGCGGGTAGCAAAGTTTCTTCGGCATGCAGCATGTTGCTCTCTGTGGGTTGCTACCACTTCCTTATGACACAGTACCCGCCAGAGTTACCAGAAACGAGAGATTAATAGAATGAAAGCTAGAAAGAAACAGTTTCTCCCCACCCCCTCCTGCTTTTCAGCTTCATTACCCTCTGCAGCAAGTTTCACTGTTTCCTCATCAGTCAGGTCCTCTTTTGTTGGAAAGAAAGAGAAAAAAAAGCCTTTACCAAAAAATAATAATAATAAAAAATCCCCATAGCTTTCAGCTCACAGGTTTAACTTCTATTGCATGCATTTCAGGCTGCACTACAAATTAGATTATTTTTAATACATATTTAAGCCAAGCCTGTCCTACTTCTGTAAACATTGTGTCAAAGCAGTTCAAATTTGCTCAGCTGAGTGCATGGGAGTCCAAGAAACAGTTCACTGCAATGTTTTGCAGCCCAGTGACAGCAATAAAACCATGGCATAGCTGAGCTGTCCTTCCTCCTGCTCAAACCTCATACTATAAAAACAAAACCTACTAAAATTAATATTTTTTTCTTCTATCAAAACCCAAATTTACCTTAAGTCAGACCTCTTTTATTAGGTTTCAAACTACTCAATGMCCTAATCCCATCCTTGTGCACTGCTCAGAGACCACAGCCACTTACGRGCACGTACAGCGTATGGTATATAGGGCAGGCTGTAAGTACAGGTGGATTACAAAAAATAAGAGAGGTGGGAAAGAGGTTTGGAAATGTGCAGGAACTTCATTCAAACATCCCGAAATCCTCACAACTATRCAAAGACTAAATGATCACTTTGGACGCGAAAAGCAAATGGACTTTTAGGTGACTTCAAGAGAAAGAGTAAAATTATCTTGACCAAAATACTCTTCCTTGTCCGTAGGCAGGGTTTGTTTCCCCTTTCTCCCCCTCTTCCTTTTTGACAGCTGAACAGAACAGTATGGCAAGCCTGTTATTTCACGTCACTGTTATTTCACTATGTGCATCCTCACCCAGCACATTTGCTGGATCCAGAGGTAGAAGGCCTGAGGAGGACAATACRCAAGTCAAGTCTTGGCATGCCAGAAAGCTGCTTATCTCCAATAATGCTACTGGCCACTATCTAAAATAAGATTTTACAGTATGTGGCACTTGAACTTATTTGCTATTCTCATGCAAACAAAACCTTGCCCAAGAACTCCTCAAAATCCAAGAGTCCACATTCTCCAATAAGGATGGAGAGCAGTCAAGAAAACCCCAGGAGACAAAGAATAAAATCTTTACCACCTAAAAATAACAACATAAGTCTTCAATTGCCTTCTTGCCACAAGGTTAATCCCCCCACGCTCAAGATAAACCATGTCAGCCCATCTCAAAAGCAGACTSTTGTTCAAGTGTGTTGCTTACAGACAGGGTTGAAGGACCTTCTGCTTACCACCCTGCAGTCTGCACTGCATTGCATCCTACAGGCTTCCTATTTGGGTAGAAACAGGGCTCAAAGGAGATAGAATTACTTGGAGACGAGGAGATAATCATTTGACAGGCTGATGTCCTAAGCACGTAATTCATAAAGTTACTGTGATAAATTTATTCTGGTGTGAGACTGGTGTGTGAATGCAGAGGTATTCAGGTGTAGCAACTGCCTTAAAAACAAAYACCCAAACAACAAGAAAAAAAACCCTTCTTTTAAAGCAACTTCATTCTGAAAGATTACCAGGTTTGCACATATTATGTGTTTAAAATGTGCATTTAAGGAGTTATTCATCTGAGTTATCATTTGTCTCAGACGTCTATAAYCTTATTTTACAAGGTTTACCTCATTCCTAACATTTGCTTAAGTTTCTCATGCAATGAAAGTCAGCAACTAGTGGGAAGAGGGAATGTTATCCTATGCAAATCCAATGGATACTTAGAAACACTACAAATCAGACTCTATCAGACAGCACAATGTAGACAAAACAAGACAACGCATCCCAACTGCGTGAGTAAAACACCTCAGTCCTGCCCTGCTGCCAGCCTTTGCAACCATCTCCTTAGTGACTATTCCCTCCTCAGTTCTGGGGTGCAAATAACCTGGTTAAACAATCTAAAGAGACCATCAAAAAGCAATTGCCAAATAGCTACTTCACAGTATTTGAATGCAGGTCTCCTAAGAAGCTGGGTCACCAGCCTACGCCTCCAGCCAGTCCCAACCCAAGAAGCCTCCCGAGCGTCAGAGCTGTCGCACGGAGCAGCCACTACCAGAGCTTTCGCACACAGGAGCCCAGAGCTGTTCTGGAGTGCAAAGTACGGCTGGGCATTTGGCCTTAAGCCCCTCCATCTGTTAACACTGAGGTTAAACATTCATCGTGTTGGACATGTCCGCAGTGAGGCGGCAGGGCTCTCCCGCTCGCCTCGAGCTTCCTGCCTGCAGGGACGGCAGGAACACAAATAATGTCACCCGCGAGGCTCACAACGCTCGTGGAGGCTGCTGCCTTCCAAGACATCTCCCTCCATTCATTGCACCGACGGGTTTGGCAGGGAGCACCTCAGTCCTTCACCACAGCGCTGCTCCGAAAGCGACCGGCTTAGGGCAAAAGCACGAACCCTGCTCGCCCTGCTCGCCCCCAGCCCAGTTAAAGCCCTGACTCGCCCCCTCTGCTCTGCCCCGAGGAGGCAAAAGGCTTCGGCTGCGCTTGGCTTTCCCGGAGGTAGCGGCACGTGCGGAGCCCAGGGGGGCTCCCCACGGCTCCGGGCGCGGGGACCGGCAGCGGGGAGCGCGGGGAGCCGGGCGGGGGTCGCGGCGGCGCACGCACCTTGTACACCTTGCCGAAGGCGCCGTCGCCCAGCTCGCCCACGACCTCCCACACGTCGCCGGGGTCCAGGTCGCGGCGGACATGCTCGTACTCCTTGGAGCGGCGCTTCTCGAAGGTGGAGAGGCGCAGGATGCGGCGGAAATTGGCGAAAGCCATGGCGGGGCAG